TAGCTGTCCTGCAGTTGTCTCCAGCTTCCAGCACCTACTGCCGCTCTCTGCAACTTCTCTAGCTATATTAATTTTATCTTTTTTAATAATGCTGTTTCCTGATTTTCACTTTCTCAAGATCTTTAATTCAGATTATTTTCCCATTCCAGATATATTAGTTTGTACTTTCCCAGTGCACAATATATTTCTATTTCCTCCCTATGATTTGAACCTCCCTAAAATCTCCAAAGAATATGAAATAACATAAAATATTATTGTGTACATGACTAAAGGGCATATGCTAGAGCAGGGGCAAAACGATTATGAAACTTTGGTATATTTGTAAACAAAAGTAAGGAATGTCATTTCAGTAACATCTTCTTTTTAAGTGATTAATTTACAATTCTTTGTTTATTATAAAGGATTATTCCACTGAAAGATTAAAGAAAACCAATGAGATATTGAAAGGCATTAAATTGTTAAAGCTGTATGCCTGGGAGCACATATTTTGCACAAGCGTGGAGGAAACAAGAATGAAGGAGTTCACAAGTCTCAAAACCTTTGCACTTTATACATCTCTTTCCAGTAAGTAATTGTATTCTATGGGAATTTTAACAGAGCTTCAGAAGGTTCCTGTTCTCAATAACAGAGTTTTAACTTCAGTACTAATTACAGTTATTCATGGGGAATGGGGGTTTAGATTGGGTTAAGAATGGCCGCCTGATCTAACTTAGCTTGCCCCAGTGCAGACCTTACACTCAAACCCAGTTTTAGGGATTAGAAATCAAATCTAAACCTGTAACAGTACAGAAGTTTCACCCACACAGACTGGTCTAAAAGGACATTGTTAAACATGTTCCTGGGGGGGGGGAGGTGCTTTAATTAGAGCAGCTCTGGGAGTCACTCTAATTAAAGTGCACAGAGCATCATGTATATCAGTGCCCCCAAACTGAAAAATGGTGGTGGGGATGAACAAGCTTTAGTTAAAGCACCCCCGGCATCATTTTTCAGTGCAGGGACACTGATACACATGATGGTGGAGTCTGCTGGAGCATGGTAATTAATTGAGTCTGCTGTGATGCACTGTAATTACAGCATGTCAGAGCAGCCTCAATGTATGTGTATAGGTGTTCATTAAATAAATAAATAGCACAGAAGGAGTTTAAAATCATTAAATATATTTTATTATTGTTTAATTTATAAAAAAAAGTTTTTTGTAATCTTAATAATGAGATTTCATATGTCAGTATTTTGATTATAATAAACACAGATTGTCGTAGTCAGACCCTGTGAGTTAGAGATAAATAAGGGTCTGATATAAATTACATTCACCATAACGAATTAGAGTTGAGAGGAATGACCTTGATATTTAGGAGAAATTATTCTCTCAAAGAACTTTCTGGCTGTGATGCATAATTATCGTGCAGTTTGTATAAATATATTTTATTCCAATTCACTAGAATATATAAATGATAACATTTCTTAGCTTGTTTGTTTGTATATTTAAGATCTCTGTCTAAGATGGGAATAAGTTTCTTCCTGCTAACAAGTTTTCCTTTGGGAGTTTTAAATACTGTAGACTAGAAAAAATATTTGGGGGAAAGTCTGAAGCTTTCTATGAGCAAGTTATTCAGTTTTTAGTGTTAAGTATTACAATTAATATTAAGACCTTTTCTCAGTCTGAGCAACCTAATACATACTTTATTTCTTTCCACAGTTTTTATGAATGCAGCCATCCCAATGGCAGCTGTTCTTGCAGTAAGAATTTTTTCTTCTCTTTCTTTGAAAAGAAATGAAAAATAATGCTGTTGCTTCTATGGGACCTACCGTTGACAAACACAGGATATGGATTAGTAGGCTTATGCTAGCAGGATATAGCAACATTGCACAAAAACACTTGATTCCCAAAGCTTAATTTGCAACAGCTGTGGTTTGGACTTGTGAAAAAGGAAGTAAACCATAAGTACCATTAATTTAATCCCCATCAAAAAAGCAACAAGCAGAATATTAATTCTTGGCTAAACAGAAAGGAAATGGACTTGGTTTGGGAGTTACATTTTTGGGGCTTTGTTATTCTGTTGCATCAAATGAAAGCCACTCCTGTGCAAAGCCCCAGCACAAAGTCTTCACACAGATAAATCCCTCAAACATCTTAGATTGGAACTTACGGGGCACGTCTACATGTTCATTAATGTACAGTGATTAGTGCACATTTAATTTAGTACTTGTATAATCAAGGACTAAATAAATGCTCAGTAACTGCAGTTACTGTGCAGTAGTGCTGGCAAACCCCTTTTTAGTGACACTACTGCTCAGTAGCATTATAATTCTGTGCAGTAGCTTATTAACACTGTGCTGTGATGTACTACTATGCAGTATTATTAGGCCACTGTGCAGTTAGTTTCTAGTGTAGATGCTTCCAAGTAGAACATAATTTTTAGACTGTCCTTTATACATAGTTGAATGTTATCACTAGTACCCCAGGATAATAGTTATACCTGGATAATAGTTATACCTCTTGTGTTGAGCAGTAAGAAATCTTCATGGACCTAATCCTGAAGGCCTCACTTAGTTTATTCTCAGTGGATGTGTCTACATGTGCAATTAGTGTGCTTGATAATTCAGGCTCATTAAAGTGCTCCTGGGCATGCATGTGAATGTGAGCTCAATGGGAGCAGTCAAGTTCAGGGTTGCTCCTGCCCTGCTCTGCCCCCCCTGCAGCAGCCAGGGGGAGCTCCCAGTTTGCTCCCAGTCAGGGTCTACATGTGCGCTTCAGTGCATTAATGTGCCATTTTTTTAGTATCTGTATGTAGCGGTACAAGCAAACGGCTCATTAGACTAATTTAATGTGCACATGTAGACAGTTACACTTTACTATGCATTAGATTAGTCTCATGTAGTTTGTGGTTTGGACTTGTGAAAGCCCTGGACTCACCCAGTCATTACTAGAACTGGGTGACATTTTTGTCCAAAATCTATTTTTGGTGAAAAATGCAGTTTCAGCTATGCCAAAACATTTCACTTTTTTGTTGTTTGATTTTGCTGAATTTTTTATTTTCAAAAAATCCTGAGTTAAATTCCAAAATTTTGAAACATTTCTCATCAAATTTTTAAATATAAAACATTTTAATTTTTCATTTGGAAATTACAATGTTTTAATTCACTGAAAAAGTCACACAGCATCAATTTCAGTTCAACCAGAGAATTTTTTTCTTAGCATTTTTAGAATTACCAGTGAACCAAAAATATAGGATTTGCTGAGCTCCGTTCATTATTCCAGTGAAGTGCCCTTCCAAGTACTGTATGTGCGGTGGTATCTTTTTCACTAATCTTCTCTTGTTCTAATGTAACAGACCTTTGTCACCTATGCATATACCACTGACAAGAAATTGCAGCCAGCACAAGCCTTTGCATCCCTGTCATTGTTCCATATCCTGGTTACACCACTGTTCCTGCTCTCCACTGTAGTTAGGTTTGCAGTCAAGGCCATTATAAGGTAAGCAGAGCAACCTCTTTGGTTATCCAAACATGCTTCAGAAAACTCCATCAGGCTGCATGAAAGGAAATATGCACACAGTGAAAAGGGGTTGCTTGTTGTTTGGCCTGGAAAATCAAAACGATGCAATGATTCAAAGAAATCAGATCAAACATTCTATTCCTAAAGTGATCACAAATAAATAGGATTAAACTCTGGCTGTTACTACCATTATTATACCAAATCTTGAAGTCCAAACTGTAGTCAAACTGTTTTTGCTTGGATTATGGCTCAGTTCTTCCCCCTCTAAGTAACCTTGCAATAGCGATCCACTGTTGTCCCCTGCTAGTGCCCCAATGGATGATAGAAATCCCAGAAGGGAAAGAAAAGATGAAAGGAAGATTTAGGCAGGACTGGCTTTTAACACGGGCAAGAGAAACTGTCCCCACTCCTACAAAACTGACCCCACTCCCACAAAAGGTGCCCAGTGATACTATACTATAGTGCCATAGTATAAAGTTGCCAATATACTATGGAACTGGAACTCACCTGTTTGTTGTTTGTCCCTAAAAATGAGGCTCTTCAGGGAAAGAATTTCCATGAATGGAGAGCCAACATCTTATATAGAAAAAGCTTCTCATTTTCAGGGATCCTGATTTTCTCTGATAAAAAAAAAATCCCCAGTTTTTAGATTACAAAAAGTAACCCCAAATCCACATTTTTCTGTGATTACATGTGTGTGTGTGTGTGTG